TTTCTTCTTCTCTTCTTCTTCTTTTTCTTTATTCAGAGAATTCACACGCTTTTAAAAAAATCAAGCAGAGACATTTACAATTAGTAACATCATGTTTTCTCTCTCACACAACTCTAAGAAAATATAAGATTACGAATTTTTAACCCATTAGCTGTTAATTTCTTTTTCCCCTGATTTCATATTTGAAATATACTTAAAATATTCAATGCATATATTTTCAAGAAGCATATATCTTCATTTGGAAATTATTACCGAGGGGTGAAATTTATACAAATTTCTTCCTATGATCCTCTCAAATGGGAGAATCATTGCAGATAATGGGTTAATTAATAGAGCAACGTTAGTATTTTATTTTCATCGAAATTTCTGTATGTAACATACATGGAATGTCAAGGAACAAAAGAGTGAAAGATGATATTTTTGAAAGTTTATAGTGCCAGTGTGCTGTATGTACTATGATACTATAAAAAAAAAAATTGTAAAAGCACTATAAACTTTCAAAGTTACAAATCTTTGTCTTTTTTGACATTCTATGTACGTTCGATCCTTAACAATAAGCAGATTGTTCATTTGTAAATATCTTTATTTGTAAGTATCTTGTACATGCTATTTTATAATAGTTGTATAATATTTATTCGGCCTCTTTCGATGGTTAGTGCATTTAAAATACAACTTCCATTTCCTCGATATTTCGATTTATTAAAAAAAAAAAAGAAAAAAGAAAAAAAAGAAGAATATTCCCTCAGAAAAGGAATTGCTGTAGCTTCGACAAATCGTATCTATATGTTCTTTCTAGTGTAAATATAAAGTTGAATTGCATTTTTAATTACGATCTCTAGACTTCGACTATTTATACGAAATTTTATGTTCCGATACAGAATGTTGACGTAGCATATTGAATGGATAGGAAAACCCACAAGCAAAATGGTTTATTAAAACCAAATAGTTTTCTTTCCAAGTAATTACCTTGCTTCGCGAAGAGTATTATAAATATACTTTCATGAAAGTATATTTGCAACTTTGTAATTGCGACAAGAGATTATTCCTCTCGTTCGTTCTTCAATTTATGCGATTAAACATTATACTTAAATTATTTCTTCTTTAATAATTATTTAATAATTATTCAAGTTAAAACTTGAACTTATCTTGTTTGATTTCTCCTTGGACAAATTTGATGAAAAGAGAAATTGATCGCTTTCGAAAAATATATTTTTATAATGTTCACAATCGTAGTGTCATGATTTGTATCTTTTGCGTTTATAAATCACAACGAATGTGGATCAATAGAGTGCGAAAAATTTACACTGATCGATTTATATGTTTCTCGTAATGGAAAAAATTTGTCAAATAAATTTATCGCATAAATCAAAGAAAGAAGAGTGTAATGAAATCTTATTCACACGATGGAAGATGTCTTCTTTTAATTTGTAATGGGCCTAATTACCGTGTACACTTGTGTGTTATTTATTTTCGATATTTATTATATTTATTTGATACCTCGCAGTATACAGCACATCATTAATAAACTATGCCCAATTCTTCATCCAAACAACTTAGTAGAAATATTTTGACAATTGTTCTCTCTATCACATACAATGTTCTCTCTAACGTCGTGACAAATTTTACAACAGTTACATTTCTTTTCCTAACATTTCAATGTGGTGAAGAATATTTTAAGAAAGTAAATTTACATTTAGCTCTGTAGACATTTTCTTATACATAATTCTCTGTATGTGTATAGTTTCTTTCAATATCATAAAGAGCTTCGTTGTTTCATAATGTTGTAAGTAAGTAGCCATTCTTTAGAGAAAAGCACAAAAATGTGGGGAAAACGTTTTAACGCACTTCGATCGACTTTGTCAATCAACTTAAAAAAAAAAAAAAAAAAGAGGGAACGATTTAGATGTGCGTTTTTTGAACTGGTAATGACCAATTGTAAGTCGATTGTAAAACGTGTAATTTAGCTATAAAAACTTTTTCGAAACATTGAAGATATTATTAGAATGAAAACAAGAAGAAAAAAAAAAGGAAAGAATTTGAAATTTAAATTGATAAACAGTTGAAGAATTTAAGACATATAAATTAAATTAAATTAAAATTTTCGATGATATGACGCAAATTAGATTTGTTTTTTTTTAAAGTAGAAAGCAATGAAAGTACGTGAAACTATTTTTGGAATATTTATTATGAATATTTAATATAACGTATATTGATGTACACCTATATGTATACTATATGCATACCTACATGTATACAGGATATCTGAAGAAGAATCTAACATTTTGAAAACATTTATTGGAAAGCTGAAAAATAATTGCTTAGATAGTATTTGTAATGTTTATTATTTTTAAATTGCGAAACTAATCGTGCACGTTTCTTTTAATTTTATTTAATTTTAATTTTTTATTTTTATCACGCACGAAGCTTTTTAGAAATTTGTAGATTTTTCTCTTCCTGTATATATTGTCATGGCTACTAAATTGCAATTATATCATAATTATATCGCAACAAAACAATCGTGAAGGACAGCAATTCGTGCTAATTACTACGAATTAAATGTATTTCTAAAAACTAAGTAACGTTAAAATTGCAAACTATACTATCAGCTTATTTCTTATTAGATTGAAATTAGACAAAGCAGAAGAAGTCAGTTTTAAATATTTTGGAATTTACTTCTGCTGTTCCTGACCATTTAATTTTAAAACATAAAACTCCCATTCAAAATTAGCGAGAGTAAGAAATTTCCAAGAAATTGTCCATTTCTCGTAAAAGCAACTAATCCTTTCATGCATTGGCGCACGATCTATACACCAAAATCGTAATATAATAATAAATCTAACGAATTTGACTCGAGTCGTTCGAAAAGCGCACATTTAAACTTAAATCTTCCCCTGTTAATTATAGAATTAAGCGTTCGTTGCACACATTCCGCAAGATATAATCTATTTTTAAGATATCACCCTCGTATAGATTTTACTCGCCCTTAGCTGATGAAGGTTCATTGAAAGGTATTTGTCACGTTGTATCTTTAATTACGTATACACTTAAAATGTTACAAAACTTGGAACTCCAGTGAAAGGAAAAGAAAGTAATAAAAGAGGAGATGAAACGCGAAATTTCAGAATAAAGTTTGGCCATATCGAGTGAAAATCGTAAATATACATTTAGGCATAAAGGATACATTTTTAGTTTTCACTGCAAGAAAACGAACCAAATCCGTAATATCCGGTTTAAACAGACGACACATTTGTCCAAGATAATGGAATAAATCTCGAGAAGCAATTGATAGATTTATATTAATCGTAATAGATAGATTGTTGATTGTACTGAGATCTTATTTCGTTACTCATCTCTACGTCCACTTCCCTTTTCAAATTCTCCGGCAACTCGCTCCATACTGATTGCGGGACAGTTTCTGAAAAATTCCATAAAAGAAATCTTACAGAGATAGAAGATTTGTTTTTTTTTTTTTTTTTTTTTTAAGTATTACGAATATTCCTGCTTGTTGTTCATGATTTATTAATATGTTTTTTTTTTTT